TTTGGTTATTCTGCTTACCGCGTTAACTACCCTTTCGATGATGTCCTCCAAACCCTGTGTCATGAGGGTGCCACTTGGCATCACCCCCGCACTACAGAGCAATACCTTAAGCGATTCGAGTTTCGACCTAAGGCTCGTCCTTGGCTACATTTTGTCTGTAACAACTTAGTCCTCACCACTCACCTAGCTAACGTTCCTAGGTGTCAAGCCCTATACATCTATCTCCTCATGACTGGCCGCTCATTTGATGTAGCCGACACCATTTACTCAGTTCTCCATGATGCCATCAACAGCATCATCTTCCCTTACCTAGTCACTGACCTTTTCCGCGCTGCTAATGTCCCTGAGTACAACAATGACAGCTACTTTAAGCCAGCCCCTTTATTTCGCTATGACCATCTTAAGCAACCTGTCATTGGACCACATCCACCCATCCAGCCAGTTTATGATGTTGGTGCAGCCCACGCAGCTGGTGCACAAGCCCCAGAAGCCTAAGCAGGCCAGCAAGGCCAGGAAGATCCAAAAGCTCCAGAACCTGTCACCTTGGACACCCTGGCTGATGATATCGATGAGCTGGCAGAGCATGTCCACCAGTTACGTGTCACACTCCTCTGAGAGATAAAGAGGCAGAAAGACTTCGATGCTCTGTATGATAGAGATCGGCACTACCGTCGTCATATAGATGCTTTGATTGCTGAACGGTTGAACTTCCTCCTGCCTCTCGAGAGGATGACCCTCAGAGCGGAGCCGGAACATCTGGAGCAGGCACTTCTGGTGCAGGACCATCTGGGTCTGGGGCGGATGATAGTGGGATGCAGCAGTAGTTCTTTCTTTGTGTTTTGTTTTATTTCTTGTTCTTTATTTCTGTTTTGCGTCAGTTTTACTGGATACTTGTTAAACTCTTTTGGTATTTTCATTGTTGTGATACATTGGATGCTGGTTTAATTGTTTGGCTACTGATGGCCTCTTTCTCTTGCTATTATCTTTATGCTTGCATTGCTTCCTTCCGCTATTTTCATTTCTCCTTTTTGTTTTACCTACAACCTGTCACCCTTCTTCCTCCTTTTTGTGAATTCAATGTGTTGTTCTCCAATTTAAAATTGGACTTCACAACTTCCGGTTCACTTGTTGATTGGTTTGCATGTCTAGGTTTAAACATTGAGGACAATGTTGTGTTTAAGTGTGGGGGAGGGATATCTATTTTTGATTTCAGCAAGTGCTTTATTATGCATCTATTTTAATCCCTTAGGTGCTTTAAAACTGATTAACTGTGGCATTTTTTGAGTCATTGAAGTTAACTTTCGAGGAAGTTTGAAAATTGCATTGCATTTTGTCTCTCTGTCAACCTTCACCGTGGTAAACTCCTCCTTTCACCACAGCAAAGTGTTGCCCTTCCAATTATTTCTCACTTCTCGGCCATACTTCGCCGCGGCAAAGTAGGTCTGCTTCATGCTTTTCCTTCTCAATTAAGGTTCACCGCGGCATACTACTTTTTTTGCCGCGGCAAAGTATTCAAAAAAAAAAAACTTGAATGCTTTGCAGTTCCATTTTTCTTTCTCAGGAAATCCCCCTGGCTTAGATTCTTATAGCCTTGCATTTTTTAAAATTACTGAAAAATTCAAAATTATACTTGTGTTTTTAGAAAATTATTCATGTTTTTTAAATGATGGTTGAACTTAGACTAGTCCTTCCCCACTGTTTTTGATAAGGAGTAAATGAGGGTATGCTTTGAAAATAGGATTATGTGCTTTTAAACCTTGAGATTGATTAATTGAGATACTAGCCTTGTTGGAAGGATATTTGGGCCTTAATTTGTAAATTGTGTGAATCTATTTAGTTTCATATTTCTCTAGAACTTGTTGTAATTCTTAATCAAAGCCTAGTGAATCAATATGTTGTAGACATGACAGAGGCATTCGATTCCAAAACCCTATTACCCAAACACAAGCCCAAACACCCTAACATTGTTAACCTCATTGGACCTATACTTTGAGTACATGCATGCAAATAAATTGTGGATTTTTATTCTGTTTGGCCATACTTATGTCAAAAAAAAAGGAAAAGAAGAAAATAAAAAAATAAAAAAACAAACAAAACAAACAAAAAATATATATATATGTAATAATAACAATTATTTTATTATTATTAGGTCCTTTCTTCAGGAAGGTTTATGTTTATGGCATAGGTAGAATAATTGTTATGCTTGTACTCAATTTTACTTTTTCTTTTATTCCATCTATTCCACTTGACTATCACCAAAATTTACGAACCCTAAGTCCTCTTGATTTGCAATGTGTGGTTCTTGTGGTGGAGAGGTAGAATTATTACAAGCCTATGGGAGAGATTAGACTGAACAGACTTAGAGTGAAATAATCCCTAAACAAGTGAGTTGAGAGCTAAACACATACCTCTGAGATAAATCTCTGTTGGTCAATTTTTTTGGATTAAAAGTCCATAGTGTTTATTTTCTTAGCATGTCTTTACTTTACCGTTGTCAATCTCCGTGGGAATTTCTTGGTAATCTTCTACCATCATCTTTAAGCATGTTAATATTTCTCTTTGCACTTGTATCTTTTTGGATCATTTAAGCTTTGCTCAGGAGTACAAAGGTCTAAGTATGGGGAAATTTGATTGAGCTCAAATTGTTTATACTAATTGATGACTTTTTCCATATTTTTGTTACACTTTTTGGCTCGTATTAATGATATTTGTGCTTAATTGGGATTGAGGGTCTTTGTTCTGAGTTAGTGTTATTTGAGGGTAAAATTGTCATATTTATTCATTAATTGGATTTAATTAATTTCTGGGACAATTGATACTTCAGACCATTACTTTTTATTTTAGGGCACTCAAGAAGAAGAGCCAAGAGTGAAGATCAAGGAAGTCCAGCACACAAGACAGATTGATGCCTCTACCAGGCTTCGCCGCGGCCAACTTTGTCTTTGCCATGGTGAAGACACCACTTCATCGGAAGTGCTCTAGACCAAGGTTTGCCGCGGTGAACCCCTCGAATCAGCAATCCAGACCCGAACCATTTTCAGAAATTTTATCTACCCACTCTCATAAACCAACCCAATACACCCCATTACTGGTTTAGAAACCCTATTTTCATGTAAGTGACATGATTCATTCAGACAACAGCCCCCATCTTCGTTCTCTCTCATCTTTCTCTCATCTAACCCTAGTTTCTTCCATTTTCACTGTAAAACCTCCACTATGGGAAACTCAGATTAATTCTTAGTTGAGATGCTTCAGATTTCTATAAGTGGCTAGGCGTTTTCCTTCCTCTTGGAGGTGTAGCAATTGCTGGAGTTCAATGAGCTAAGAAGGGGAGTAGTTTAATCCTAGTTCATGCTATGAATTTATGATTTCTAGGTTTAGGATTTGTATTTTGTAGTTGAACTACTTGATTATAGTTGTAATCAGCTTGGATTTTCATATGTGTAGTGAATTGATTATTGTAGAACTCTAAGCTTAAATATATAAAGTCTCATATATATCAGTTGTAATCTTTTGATTCTCTTTACTCTTGCACGGTTGTGTTTTGATATTGAGAAGATTTTGATTGCATTTGACCTATTGCATTAATCAATTTTTCTATACACACTAAGAGCACTTAACAGGATCTTGAGAAATGGAGTTCATTGATCAATATTCTGGACTCAGAGAGTATTTTGAGGTTTATCAATTTGAAACTCAGTGATTTCTACTCCCATATCAATTGATTTTGAACTATGACAGCTTGAGCACACTTTCAAGAGGAACTTAATTATCATTTGGTTATTGTTTACCTACATCCATCACTTATTCCTTAAAATCCAAAAAAAATATATACATATATTTTGTTTACCCTTAATTCAATTCACTCCGATACGGATCCTGTGGTAGAAGGCCAAATTTTGATCATCTTCGTTAATTAGCAAGTCCTGTAAGTCCTGAGTCACATAATTGCTTCCCTCATTAAACAACTTGTAAAAATAAGCCTCCCATCTGTCCTTAATATCACCATCAGTAACTAACACTTTACCATCTTCATCCTTTATACACTTTACTTGGTCCAAATCTCTCTTTTTCCTCTCCCTTTGCTTTGCAATCTTGTAAATATTTCTTTCTCCCGTCTTTGTTCCTAACTCCTGATAAAACCCTTCATAAGCTTTAGTACGTGCTTCAAAGCATAACACTCAAAGAAACTTTGGTATACAGGAAAGGTGAGTGCAAGGAATGGGGTTGGTATCATCGTTCATGGAACATGGAAAAGAAACGTGGTAGAGGTTAAAAGGTTTGAGGACAGAATAATATTATTAAGAGTAATTGTTGGAAAAGATACTATCAATATCATTAGTGCCTATGCACCTCAGGTTGGGGCAGAGACACACCTTAAAGATAAGTTCTGGGAAGATATGGAGGGGTTGGTTCAAAGCATACCACTCGAAGAAAAAATTTTTATCGGTGGGGACCTTAATGGACATGTCGGTAAGGAAGTAGGACAATTCAGCGGGGCCCATGGGGCTTTTGGTTTTGGGGAGCTTAATAGTGAAGGACAATCTATTCTCGACTTTTCTCTTGCATATAATCTTAAGATTGTCAACACTTGTTTTAAGAAGCGAGAGGAGCATTTAATCATGTACAAAAGTGGTGTCTCAAAATCACAGATTGATTTCTTTTTGGTTAAGAATCCAGACAGAAGATTGTGTACTAATTGCAAAGTGATTCCAGGAGATGGGGTGACTGCCCAACATAGAGTACTTATTCTTGATGTACGTTTAAGAGTACCAGGCAAAAGTACCATCAAGTGGTAAAATCCAGGGTTAGGTGGTGGCAGTTAAAGGGTGAGAAATGAGAGTTATTCAAAAGGACCCTTATGGAGGAAGGGATTTAGGAGTCGCAGGGAAATGTAAACATGATGTGGGAAGAGATAGCTACAAGGGTTTGTGTGGTAGGTAAAGAAATTTTGGGAGAATCCAAAGGTCCTCGTCAGAGAGATAAGGAGACTTGGTGGTGGGATAAGAGTATGCAAGAGAAAGTCAAACAGAAAAGAGATTGTTTTAAAGCCATACACTCGTGCAATAGTGTAGAAAACTGAGAAAAGTATCAGTTGGCTAAAAAAGAGACAAAGAAAGCAGTGAGCGAAGCACGTACTAAAGCTTATGAAGGGTTTTATTAAGAGTTAGGAACAAAGACGGGAGAAAGAAATATTTACAAGATTGCAAAGCAAAGGGAGAGGAAAAAGAGAGATTTGGACCAAGTAAAGTGTATAAAGGATGAAGATGATAAAGTGTTAGTTACTGATGGTGATATTAAGGACAAAAAGGAGGCTTATTTTTACAAGTTGTTTAATGAGGGAAGGTATTATGCGACTCAGGACTTACAGGACTTGCTAATTAACGAAGATGATCAGAATTTGGCCTTCTACCGTAGGATCCATATCAGAGAGGTTAAGGCAGCTCTCAAAAAAATGGACAATGGAAAAGCCGTTGGGCTTGATGGTATCCCTATTGAAGTTTGGAAATGTTTGGGAGATGAGGGTGAGGTATGGCTAACCAAGCTTTTTAATGAAATTTTACGCTCTAAGAATATGCCGGATGAGTGGAGGAGAAGCATTTTAGTTCCTATTTACAAGAATAAAGGAGACATTCAAAACTGTGCAAGCTACAGAGGGATAAACTTATGAGTCATACAATGAAGTTGTGGGAAAAAGTGATGGAATATAGGTTGAGGCTGGAGACTTCTATTTCAGAAAACCAATTTGGATTTATGCCAGGGAGATCCACTTCGAAAGCAATCTATTTACTAAGAGGGTTAATGGAAAGATATAGAAGTAAACGAAGGGATTTACATATGGTCTTTATTGACCTGGAAAAGGCTTACAATCGTGTGCCAAGAGAAGTAATGTGGAAGGCTTTGGAAAAAAAAGGTGTACGGCTTGCTTATATCAAAGCCATACAAGATATGTATGAGGGGGTAACTACCAGTGTAAGGACGCCTAGAAGTGAGACAAAGGACTTCCCTATTCAGATTAGCCTATATTAGGGATCCTCTTTGAGTTCGTACTTGTTCAACATTGTTCTGGATGTTCTAACTGAACCTATTCAAGAAAGAATCTCTAAGTCCATGCTTTTCGCGGATGATATAGTTCTCATGGCGGAATCAAAAGAAGAGATTAACACTAGATTTGAGTTATGGAGAAGGATGTTGGAGTCGAAAGGTTTCCGCTTGAGCAGGAACAAAACAGAATATATGCATTGTGATTTTGGGGGGAAGCAAGGCAATGGGGATTTGGAGGTGAAGATGGGGGAGCAAATCATTCCTCAAGTATCAAAGTTTAAATACCTAGGATGCATTATACAGGAGCATGGGGAAATTGATGGAGACGTTTCTCATAGAATACAAACTGGCTGGTTAAAGTAGAGGAAAGCTACCGGAGTTATTTGCAATAAGAAGGTACCTGAGAAACTTAAAGGAAAATTTTATCGGATTGCTATAAGACCGGCTATGTTGTATGGTAGTGAATGTTGGACAATAAAGGGAAAACAAGAGCACAAAGTTGGGGTAGCAAAAATGAGGATATTGAGATGGATGTGTGGTCATACAAGAAAAGATAGGATTCGAAATGAAAATATCAGAGCAAGAGTCGGTGTGGCACCTATCCAAGAGAAAATGGTTAAAAATCGCTTAAGATGGTTTGGACATGTGCAGAGAAGGCCATTGGAGGCCCCGATGAGGAGGATGGATCAGACAAGATAGAGTCCCATAAAAAGGAACAGAGAAAGACCAAGAAGAACGCTTAATGAGGTCATTGAACGAGACCTCCTAGTCAACAACATATCTAAGGACTGGATTGTTGACAGAGCACGATGGCGTCGTGTGATTCATGTAGCCGACCCCACCTAGTGGGATAAGGCTTGTTGTTGTTGTTGTTGTTAATTCAATTCACTTAATGATTTCAAAAAACAAAAAACAAAACAAAACCCCCTGTTTATATTCAAGCTTGCATTGCATGACATTTAAGCTAATTTAGGTCCATTTCGCTAAGGCTCCATTTAAGTGAGACGACTTGAGGTTGCACCCTATAGTGCAATCCTTGGATAAAAGTTTTCATTTAACCTCCAAGGTCTAAAAAAGGTACTGGGTAAGAATCAATGATATGCTGCTTGATTATGTTTAAACCATGAAAAGGATTTATTGATGTTAGGTGAATGATTAAGAGGAAGAAAAGAGTTGTAATCAAGTGGTTTTGTGATGAAATTAGAAATAATCCAACTTCCCCTTATGTAGTGTAATATTTTTCCTAGACCTAGGATTCTTGACAAGGTTAGATATTGATAATTTTGATATTTCTAATGTGTTTAGAAAGAAAAACTGTGGAGGGTACAAGTGAGAATGAATGTTTGGTAGCATTAGAATTAAAAATAGATTTTTCAACCCTAAATTATAATGTGTCAGCCAAGATTGATGGAAGGGGAAGGAATTGAGTTTTGTTTGAATTTAATCTTAGAGATAGAATCTACATGTAAAATTATGTGTGAATAGAATGTTGAATTAATTTTAGAAAGATTCATATCAAAGCTCAAAAGTTAATGTTAAAGGGTTTAGAGAGAGCTGTGTTTGAAATGTTATTTGTTTCCATGGCTCTAATAAATAAATGGTCAGATGGAGCCAAAACATGTCAAATAGAACCACATTGCATGGCATTAAGCTTAGAAGACCATACTTTGAAAAATCACCTCGTTGGTTTTCTTTTTCAGTTTTTAATTATTGTTAATCATGTTTTGCATTTGATGGGATTTGAGAATCTAATTGAAAAGAGTATGTAAATGTAATTTATTATTTGATGAATGGTTAATCAATTTATTACTTATAGTCTTGGACTTGGATAGTGAATTAGTGAGTTTGGATAAGATAATGTAATGTGAGAATTAATTTTGTTTATTAAAAAAAAAAAGGCTAGCCTATGACATAACAAGTTCAAAGAGGTGTGGGCTGAAATAACCCGCACCTTAACAGGTTGGTAAAAACCCATCATTTTTGGCTAGTCGAAACCCCATACTCATCCTGTATTGCTAACTCTATTTGTAGTTAAATATTTTGCAAGGTATTGAAACACAACCTTCATTAGCTAATTAGGCTAGTGAGTTTTATCGCAAGCCACGTCAAGAGTTTTAAATAGATGATTATATTAGTTTTTTTTTGTTTTTGCATTTTTTTATTGAGCCCGAAATAATATTGTTTTGAGTTTTAAAAGAGAAAAAGTAATCCACCATATTTATACTCTAATAACAAATATTTTTATTGAATTATGTAGCCATAATTATAAATTAATTTTCTGGGTCATATATAAATAATTTTATATTTTTTAATTAAATTATATTTTTTTAATTATGATTGGGTTGACCCATAATTAAATTATTGGCTATTGAGCTATTCTTTTTTACTGATTTAGTAACCAACAAGTTTCATATGATAAGAAGTTCATAAACTTTAAATTATATAATGATATTTGAAAATTTTGTAATAAAATAATTTTGATTTTCAATGCCTAGTGTTTTGGTAAAAAATAAATCAATATAAAAAGACCTAAATATCCCTGCTTCTAGACACTGTCATGGAGAACTATAGAAATATGGTGAGGTAAATGGGTAGGGTCTAGATTTTCACATACATTCCCTGACATTCTATAAAGTTTTGGATGGAATGAAAACAAGAAAAGTTATTATTATTGGAATGCAAGGAAAGAATTGTTGTTCAATTTGGGCCATTTGCATTAGTTAGAATCTCATATCTATATAATTTGATATGATTTTTAATTATGTCTATATAGGTTTTCCCCTTTTTATTGTATCTTTTATAGTTTCCTCAATTTTAGCCAGTAATTCCTATATTTATAATATGTATGTTAATTAGAGCCCATGTCATATTGATTAAGTGACATGTAAGTTGTCATAAAATACAAAATAAAAAAACTAATAAAAATAAAGTAATTGAATAAAATATATTTATTATTAACGAAATGATAAGAATTATGCTAATAATAGTCTCCTTGCATCTATATATAATCAGTAATATGATTCATTTTGATTTTATTTAGATCCATGTGGCAAAATTAATCTAGATGTATGCTAAGTGTGAGTTACATCAACTACATAATAAAAGTTGTTTTTCTTACAAATTAACAAATTATGAGTATAAGAAATAATATCTATAATTGCGAAAATTATAGGAATTCAATAAAGGGGAAAAAATTATATGGACCTCTTTAAAAATCATATGAAATTATAAGGAATTATGGATTAATTCTTCTTATAAAAATAGTCATGTGTGTTATAATTAATGTGCAGTAGGTAAATATTATTTAATAAAATATGACAAGTAAATACTTGATAGGATCCAATCCCCCTACTAGTTAATCTTTTTGGGGCTAGGCCCTCTGTTGTACAAAAAAAAAACCTAGAATGACTATTTTTTATTAAGGCCTCACTAATAGATCAAATGACACTAAGCACCTTCCACTAAGCAGTATTTGCATCTGTGAAGATTGTCCTTTGCTGTTTTGTTGATTTCTTCAAAAACAAAAACAAACATCATGATGTCCAAAGAAGTCAACAAACCAAACTAAATACTCTTGTCCAAAGAACCTTGCACACCCACAATAAAATCATAAGCAGTGGATCTACACACTAAGGTATTGTTTGGTACGAGGAAAATAAAAAAGAGGAGAGGGAAGAAAAAATTTTAATGAGTTCCATTTAAAAGATTAGGGAAGTGGGGTTTTAAAATTTTAATAAAAAGAACAAGTAATAGAAAAGAGTAATAAAAACTAATTAAAATTTTTTAACCTCACTTATCCAGATTTTTAAAGTGAACTCATTAAAATTTTTTCTCACCTCGTCTCCTTTTTATTTTCTTCATACCAAATGAACCCTAAATTTTCCATCCCTGAGGCCACCAATAATAATAATAATAATAATAATAATAATAATAATCCATATTGCTAGTTAGAGCTCTAGCTTTTAAGGCATATTAATTAGCTGTGTTTTATAAAGGGCAAGGGGAAAAAAAACCATTCGAGGCAATGTTGTAGGATGTCTAAGCTCTAAGGAAGATTATACTCCTCTAATCCTTAATATATGACCTAATTATTGAGTTGATTTTGGTCCTAAATATAAGACCCATTTCTCATATTTATTAATTTTTTCTAAATTACCCTTATGGATACTCCCTCAACCATAATCAAGTAGAAGAGGGAGAGAAGATATTAAGGAAGATAATTCTGATGTTTTAGAAAGAAAAAACATGTCATATTTTTTTATAACTAACTAACTTGTTTAACTTCCTTAATCTAATCAAGTTAGTTAAATAAGTCTTATATGAAGGACAGAAGAAGTATATAAGAGGCTAGCTATGAAGTGACAAGGACGGATTGGCTTAAAGATACATACACAGTTGCTCAAATTAATCCTTTTAGCTAATTTAAAAAATTCATAACTAATTTTTAAAAAAATTAAAATGAGGTGGTTTCAAGTTTTATATGAAGCTCTTTCATTTATTTATATAGAAAAAATACTTATTGATCAATTACTTATTCCATTAGGGCTCCATTTTGTTTCCAAAAAGTATTGTTTATTTGGTCACTTTTTAATTTCTAACTTTTTACAATAATTTCAAAAATCCATAACTTTTTGTTCAAAATTCTAAATTAGTTTATCTACCACTTCCTTTGAAGTTTAGGATGTGAACTTTAAGCTCACCAAATCTCATGGTCACATTACATCATTTGGTCAAAGAAGTCGCAACCTCAAAGTTAGGGTTTTTCAAGCATTTCTATCTCTTTTTGATTGCGTAACTTGCAAAATTTAATCCCTAACTTCCATGTTTTCCAAGAGCCATTCATATCATCAGATTATGAATCATAATACTTCTCAAGGGTTGGGAACATTGTCTCATATGAGCATTTATCATAGAGTACATAATATTACCTAACTCTATTCAAATTCATAATTACATGACATGGAAAAGTTCATAAATGCACATCATTTCATGAAATCTTCTTCATGAATCCACATTCTTCCCCTTTTTTTCTTGATGAGCAAACTCCTAGTAGAGTCAATTATATATATAAAGAAGGGTGAAATCTCAGTAGCAGAGAACAACAATTATAATGTTAACAATGCAAAGTTAATTCATGCTATATGCAAGGAATATTTTCATACTTTCATCTGTAACATAATACCATGGAAAAGGAGCATATAATCATACCATTAGACAACTCAACTATACAAATTGGCAAGGCACAAATGTAAGGAGTTAAACACATTTCATCATATCCAACTCAACTACTTCATGGCCTAGAACACATAGCAAAAACTACCAATATGAGTCAACACTAAAATTGTAAGTTCTTGCTACCTCTTATCAAGCTTTGCTCCTTAATTCTCTTTCCTTGTTCTTGAGCCTCCTCTTACTCAAATCCAATACCCATTAATTAGACAACAATGGCTTTCTAAATCAAATCAAACACTTCCATCAAACATTTAACTTAAAACCTTAACCCTTTACCCATAATTTTAGGCGTTTTGCATTATCTTTCTTAAAATAACTCTCACATACTTGCTTATATAATTTTTCATGTGAAATCCATATTTGAACTTAGTTTTATCAAAATCTAATTCTTTTTCATTGATCCTTACTTGGCTAGGACATAGGGGGTTGATATTCAAAATTTTTATTTTCAATTTTAATGCTTCCAAATATATTTTCTCCACATTCTTCTAAACCTATTGGAAGTATCAAATTAACATGAATCAAAACCTAGCCTTATTAACCAAGTTTGGCCGAAACATATACCTATATTTCATAAGTTGGAATTCCATAAAAAACCATGTTAAAACACTAGTTTCCAACCATTTTTTATCCCCTAATTCATATACCATCCTTTAATCATTCATATCATATCATATGACATTTTAGGCAGCATG